GAGAGGAAAGGTGGAACTGGAGAAAAAAGGGAGGAATATAAAGAAGAGAGAGAGAGAGAAAGAAAGATAGATAGAAAGAGAAAGAGAGAGAGAGAGAGTGGGACATAGAGGAGGAAGGGAGGGAGGGAGGGAAGGAAGGATAGAAGGAAGGCGAGGAAGGGAGAGGAAGGAAGGAAGGAGAGAAAAGGGAGGAATGAAAAGAAGGAAGGGGGAAAAAGGAAAGGTAGAGAAATAAGGAAGGTAAATAGGTAGGAGGGAAGGAAGGAATGGAAGGGAGGGAGGGATAGAAGGAAGATGAAGGGGGGAGGGAAGGTATCAGGGGAATTCTGGGAGCTGAAGCCTCCCTATCTAAAAGTTGCCAAGGCTGGGAAACTTTGCTTTTGAACTCTTTTTTTTTTTTTTTTGAGTCGGTGGGGGTCTGCACAGAGGAAATGCCAAGCGTTTGATCAATGAGGGCTTTTAAGGGGGGGGGCTTTGCAATCCCAGCTGTCAATCTCTGCCAAGGTCATCTACTCTGTCTGCAGTTTTGAGCGCGACGCTCCTCCGCTGCAAAGCGCCTCCCCCCCCCCGCCTTTACTCCAAGGTGCCCGAAGGGAACTGAGGAGGGGCTTCATCCTGGCAAATGGGCGGTGGGGCTCTCCTCCATAAGGCAGTTGGCAAGGGGGGTATGTGGTTTGCACCTGCACGCCCCCCCCTCCCTGGCCGCGAAAGGGAAGGTGTGGGGGGGGGTCTGGCGGGAGGGTGCCTGGGCTCCTGCCAGCTGCTTGGGGGGGGGTCAGGAGAAGAGGGGGAAGCAAAGGGGCAAGGTTGGCATTTCGCTTGAAGGAACAGGGTCTAAAATTGAATTTATCAGAAAAGGGGATCAAGTGGCCTAGTTTTCTTTTCCCTTCCATTTCCTTCCCCTTCCCTTCCCTAACCCTCCCCTCTTTCTTTCTTTCTTTCTTTCTTTCTTTCTTTCTTTCTTTCTTTCTTTCTTTCTTTCTTTCTTTCTTTTTCCTTCCTTCCCCTTCCTTCCCTTTCTTTTCCTTCCTTCTTTCATCTTCCTGTCTCTCTTTTTCTTTTTTCTTCCCTTCCTTCCTTCCTTCCTTCCTTCCTTCCTTTCTTTCTTTCTTTCTTTCTTTCTTTTTTCCCCTTCCTTTTTCCCTTCCTTCCATCCTTTTTTCCTCTCCCCCTCTATCCCTCCCTCCCTCCCTTCCATCCATCCATCCTTCTTCTCCTTTCCCCTTCCTTCCCTTCCCCTCCCCTCCCCTCTCCTCTCCTCTCCTCTCTTTCTTTCTTTCCCTTCCTTTTTTCCACCTTCCTTCCTTCTTTCCTCTTCTTGTCTCTTTCTCTTTTCTTTCTTTCCTTCCTTTTTCCTTTCTTTCTTTCTTTCTTTCTTTCTTTCTTTCTTTCTTTCTTTCTTTCCCTTCCTTTTTTCCTCTTCCTTCCTTCTTTCCTCTTCCTGTCTCTTTCTCTTTTCTTTCTTTCTTTCCTTCCTTTTTCTTTTCTTTCTTTCTTTTTCTTTCTTTCTTTCTTTCTTTCCCTTCCTTTTTTCTTTCCTTCCTTCCTTCTTTCCTCTCCCCCCTCCCTCCCTCCTTTTCTTGCATCCATCCTTCTTCTCCCTCATCTCATCCATCCTTGGAGGTCAGCTCTGTGTCACTCAAGCTGTGTCCTTGAACCCTCCTTCTGAAAGACAAGATGCTGAAGCCCTTCGCTTCTGATGCCCTCCTCAGCCCATCCAGCAACTGTAAGAGGTTCCTGGGCACACACAAAGTTCCCAGAAAGCAAAGGATCCTCTTATTTCTCCTGCAGCCCCCAAGTTTTGACTGGTGTCTCTGCCAAAGATCAACCAAAAATCTGGTCCTTTATTTAAATATTTTCGAAACCACTGAAGCCAGCTCCATGGTGCCCCCTGCTGGTTCATATCGCTTAGTTCATTTTTTTTCCTATTGGTATTTCTCCACTTAGGACCGTAATAGAGCCTGCCCAGTACAGTCGTAAAATGAATCAACCACGTGACCAACCTGATTTTACCACTTTTTTTTTTTGCAGAAGTTGTTAAGCAAATGCCCCAATTGTTAAGTGAACCAATTGTTTTTCCCAAAAATTGAAAATAAATCCCGATTTTTGGGTTATGTGACTTCAAGGTGTTGCAAATAGCCCTAAATCCAACAGGGGGCGAACGTCAGAACTTGGGAACTGAGTTGTAAGTATCCCCAAGGAGGTCCGTCATAACTCGGAACGGTCGCTAAACTGGGTTCTCCTTTGCCATGCGTTCTTTGACCCGATTAATTAAAACCATGCCATTAATTTTAGTTCCCTTGTTCCAGAATTAAGTGGTGCTTAAAAAATGGCACCCATGTTTTAACTAAAAAGGACAAAGATACTAATTTATGTGCAAGCTATAATAACGGCGCACCTGGATAAATATGTTAAAAAATATATTAAACAAACATTAAAATTCAAGATAAAGACAAGATAGAATATTTTTAAAATAGAAAAAGCAAGGAGAACATGACCTTTTACCTTGTGACAACTTCCCAGATGTTATTTGGTGTTAGGGCAGTTGATTCAAGCCACAGGCTAAAAGGTCAATTCATTTATCAGCATGAGGACTAGGAACTTGAGCTATCCCAAAATTTCCTTTAGAATTTTACTGTATTCAACGAATACGTGTGTATGTGTTGTTGCTTTTTTTCTTTTTTTTATGCACCATATTTTTTTTTCAACTTCTGTCTTGTTTTGTGTTTTTTGTTTTGTTTTTTTGTTTTAATTGGACTTTTGTGTTTTAACTTTTTTTGAATAAAATAAAAATAGAAACTTTTTTTTTTTTAACTGGATGGTCATGTCTCTTTCTCTCCTGGCCAAAATGATGGACTTTGACAGATATCCAGGGAAATATTGTAATGTTTCCTTCTACGTCTGTGTTATTTACACCAAGTTTTGACTGCTTAGTTTGCGTTCAAGAACTGTTTTCGAAAAACTCAGATCAAAGATCAAAACTTTCCGAGCTGCTGTTAACTCTTATTCATCTGAGATCCTTGTTGCTAATAAAAGCAGTCCTTGACTTACAACCGTTCATTTAGCGACCGTTTCACAGCTACGACAAGCACTGGAAAAAAGTAATTTATGAGCAGTCCTCACACTTACGACTATTGCAGCATCCTGATGGTCACATGATCAAAATTCGGCCACTTGGCAACCAGCATGTAGTTCTCAACTTACAACAGTTCATTTAGCGACCGTTCAAAGTTACAACGGCACAGAATAAGTGACTTACGACCGTTTTTCACACTGACGACCGTTGCAGCATCCCTAGGGTCACGTGATCAAAATTCAGTCGCTTGGCAAGTGGTTCATACTTACGACGGTCGCAGTGTCCCAGGGTCACGTGATCCCCTTTTGTGACCTTCTGACAAGCAAAGTCAGTGGGAAAAGCCAGATTCACTTGACAACCGTGTTACTAACTTAACAACGGCAGTGATTCACTTAACAACTGTGGCAAGGAAGGTGGTAAAATGGGGCAAAACTCACTTAATGAATGTGTTCGTTTAGGAAGAGAAATTTTGAGCTCAACCGGCGGACCCAATTCGAGAATCCATGCCTGAAAGGAGAAAAAAAATGTCTTTCCTCTCCTATTTATGCAATATTTATGCAAGAAGCTGGAGTTAGGTTAATTTGCAAGTCCATTAGCCACCCAATTAGCGTTGTCTCTATCATTTTCAGCGAAGCCTAAAGAGAATTTTAATAACTCCCAGCTTGAGGCCCAGCAAAGATCAGCCCCAATTACAAATTGCCTTCATTCTGGTTTTTAGATTTAATTGAGAAGCAACGGCGACTGTAACTAAAACAGCGCTGGAGGCCGGCCTTGTTTATTCATCAGCTGCTCCCGTGTTGTCACTTGCGGATGACTTAATCGCCCAAATATGAGTTTTCACGGAGTCCCCGTTGATCTGCAAACGCTCGCTTCCACAAGGCAGTTCAGATTCCTCACGCAGAGGGAACTCCACTGCCCCCTAGCCCTCATGATGTTCCCTGGTTGGGTCATGAAACGTCTGCAAGGAGACCCCTCGGCTCAGAGGGCACCAAGGACCCCCCCCCACAGCCCTCCTCCTCCTCCTCCTCCTCCTCCCTTCTAGGACTGATGATGTTCCCTAGTTGGGCCATGAAACGTCTGCAAGGAAACCACCCAGCTCAGACCCCACAGTCCTCCTCCTCCTCCTCCTCCTCCTCCCTTCTAGCACTGATGATGTTCCCTAGTTGGGTCATGAAACGTCTGCAAGGAAACCACCCAGTTCAGAGAGCACCAAGGATCCCACGGTCCTTCCTCCTCCTCCTCCTCCTCCTCCTCCTCCTCCTCCTCCCTTCTAACTCTCGTGATGTTCCCTAGTTGGGCCATGAAACGTCTGCAAGGAAACCACCCAGCTCAGAGGGCACCAAGGACCCCCATCCCCCCCCATCGTCCCCCTCCTCCTTCTCCTCCTCCTTCTCCTCTTCCTCCTCCTCCTCCTCCTCTCTGTAAATTTCTCTTCTAGCACTGATGATGTTACCTAGTTGGGTCACGAAATGCCTGAAAGAAAGTCTGAAAATTCACTCTCTCCGTTACTCCCGTTCAACACAGGCTGCTGCAGAGAAAGAACATAATATTCCAAAAATTCACAATGGACAGTCAACTTTTGTAAAGAAAGGGACATTGAAAGACACAAATCACTAAAAAAAAAAGAAAAAGAAATAAATTTTCAAGCCAAGCAAATATCACCATTTGCGTTTACAAAGTCTCCTGGCAGGTTTGGTAAATGTCCCTCTCTAACTTACACATTGTTGTAAATTGCAGGATACGGTGTCTTTAAAGTAAAAAAACAGCAAGAACAACGCAAATCCTCTCGTTGTTAGGCACATAAATTTCACTAATGGAGGCTTTCTAAATGCAAATTCAGCTGAATTTTCCTGGAGAACAAGCCACTCCATTATTGAAGATTGTTTCCATTCAAAACAATTTCCCCGCTCAGCATCTTCTTAATTCATTGATTTAATGATTTTTGCAAAGTGAACAAGTTCCTGGAGTATCTGTGGAAGAGGACAGGGGTCAAAAGAGTCAAGATGGCAGCCACAACCCTTACTGACAGGTGCAGGTAGAGGATCAGTTTATAGACACATCCCTTTTGTCTATTAATGGCTGATTTCTCTCAGTTTCCTACCGTTTTTGGATTTAGTTTGGCTTAGGACGCTCACAGTCTTCCACCTGTGGCAAATCGGAGCTCTGATCTCAGGGTGGTGGCTGCCATCTTGACTTTTTTGACCCTTGGTCAATGACTGAGAGGTTTGTAGGGGACTGGTCACTCTCTTCAGCACCTGACATTTCCACCTAGAGAAAACGTAGGGATTTATTTCCTAAAATAGACAAGGTTGAGACTACTTATGAGGCAGATGCTCAGGTGCTGGCTTAAAAACCAGGAGACCGTGAGTTCTAGTCCCGCCTAAAGTATGAAAGCCAGTTGGGTGACTTTGGATCAAATACCAGGAGACGGTGAGTTCTAATCCCACCTTAGGCACGAAAGCCAGCTGGGTGACTTTGGGCCAATCACCAGGAGACGGGGAGTTCTAGTCCCGCCTAAGGCACGAAAGCCATCTAGCTGGCTAATCACCAGATGATGGTGAGTTCTAGTCCTGCCTTAGGCATGAAAGCCAGCTGGGCGACTTTGGACCAGTCATCAGGAGACAGTTCTAATCCCATCTTAGACACAAAAGCCATCTAGCTGGCTAATCACCAGGTGATGGTGAGTTCTAGTCTCGCCTTAGGCATGAAAACCAACCGGGTAGCTTTGGGCCAATCACCAGGAGACGGTAAGTTCTAGTCCCGCCTTACGCATGAAGCCCAGCTGGGTGACTTTCAGCTGGATGACTTTGGACCTATCACCAGGAGACGGTGAGTTCTAGTCCTGCCTTAGGCATAAAAACCAACTGGGTGACTTTGGGCCAAGCACCAGGAGACAGTGAGTTCTAGTCCCACCTTAGACCTGAAAGCTGGATGTGTCCATCACCCAGGAAGGAGCATTGTATGCTCCTTGCCTTGAGTTATTTGCCAAAATAATAAAGGCGGGATATAAATACCTAAATATACACGCTGCTTGCCTGCATCTTCCAAAGGCTGGAACGTTTTGTTAAAGTGAACACATAAATGGGATTCCTTCAGTGTCGCCTGCCTGCAGATTTTTTCTCTCGAATCTCAGCCTCACCACGAAATGAAGCAGGTGGCCTCTGACCCCCAGCTTGCTCTTCTCTGCTCTAAAATCAAGACGCAGGAATTAAATATTTTGCCCTAATTAAATATTTGCCTGATCTGATGCTTTTCCAGCACTTTCCCCCCCCCCTTCGGCTTTTAATGGTTCTGCAACCTTGGACGGCATTTCCTACAATTAAACATCCCAAATTTGGCCAAGTGGCTAAAGAGAGGCAGCTTGGGAGACCAAGGGCAGAATCAGGACCAGAATCCAGATATGGTTAGGCTTTTGGGGGGGGGGGTGAGAACTTAGCAATTTGAAGAACTGGAATTTATTTTGGGGATAAGGTCAACCGCCACGCAAGGCCCCCTTGAATGTCGCTATGCTGGAGGATTTCATAAATGGTGAGATGGTCTGAATTGGTGATTTTTTTGAAAAAAATAGGCAACTTTAAGAAGGGAGGACTTCAACTCCCAGAATCCCCCAGCCAGCCTGATTTAAGAGGAGAGGACTTCAACTCCCAGAATCCCCCAGCCGGCCATCCTTTAAGAGGGGATAACTACAACTCCCAGAATCCCCCAGCTGGCTTGCTTTAAGAGTGGAGGACTTCAACTCCCAGAATCCCCCAGCCGGCCATCCTTTAAGAGGGGAGGACTACAACTCCCAGAATCCCCCAGCTGGCTTGCTTTAAGAGTGGAGGACTTCAACTCCCAGAATCCCCCAGCCGGCCATCCTTTAAGAGGGGATAACTACAACTCCCAGAATCCCCCAGCCAGCCAGCCTTTAAGAGGGGAGGACTACAACTCCCAGAATCCCCCAGCTGGCTTGCTTTAAGAGTGGAGGACTTCAACTCCCAGAATCCCCCAGCCGGCCATCCTTTAAGAGGGGATAACTACAACTCCCAGAATCCCTCAGCCAGCCATCCTTTAAGAGGGGAGGACTACAACTCCCAGAATCCCCCAGTCAGCATGATACCTTAAAGCAGGCCGGACGCGTCACCAGGAAACCGCGCCCACCCCATTGCCGGCAATGGAGAAAAGGCTCCGATACGTCGTGCGATGTCACGTGACGTCGCGAGTTTGACATGTCTGCCTTAAAGCATGGTGAATGGAGAATTCTGGGACTTGAAGTCCACCCGTCTTAAAGTTGTCATGGTTGAAAAAAACACTTTTCTGACTCATTTAAATAATTCAGGTAGTTCTCAACTTATAACAGTTCATTTAGTGACCATTCGAAGTGATAATGGCACCGAAAAAAGGGACTCGTGACTGTTTCCACACACGTGGCAGCATCCCCCAGAGTCACATGATCAAAATTCGGATGCTTGGCAACTGACTCATACTTATGACGGCTGCGGTGTCCCTTTTGCGACCTGACAAGCAAAATAAGCCAGAGTCGCTTAACAATATTGCCCACTTAACAGCTTCAGTTGATTCACTTAACAACGGTGGTAAAAAAGGTCCTAAAATGGGAGAAAACTCACTTTACAATGGTCTCGCTTAGCAACAAAAATGTTGGGCTCCATTGCGGTCGTAAGTCGAGGACCACCTATATCTTTGATTGGCGAATTTCCGCTCCATTAAAAACACGCTGAGCGCTGTCTTCAAATCAAACCAGGTTGTTGTTTCTTTTGTTCCTTCTACCCTTCAAGCACCAGGTGCAAATCCAGACAAGAGCTTAATTGTGCTTTTGATCATCAGAGAGGCTGCCGAGTGGCACAACTTGAGGTGATTTTAGCGAGTGCCCGATTATCTCAGCCTGCAATTTTGTGCTGAGAGCTCTTATATCCTACACACACTTTTCCTGGTGTCAAACACCTGTATATTCATCAAGAAAATTAGATTTTAAAATGGTTTTCTCCTCAAGGGGAAACAGAGAACTTCTTTTTTGAAATAATACATTCAGCTTTCTAAATTAAAAATGGCAGCATATACAAGTAGGGAGATATCTGGAAAGCTTCTTTTGCTCGGAATCGACAGGCCTCTGTTAGACTCTCTGATTTATTAATAAATTCCGTGAATTTTCAAAATTCTCCAGATTTTTCTAAGGCGTCTGTAATTCAGAAAAGGGACTTTTTAAAAAAAAATTAAGCCCAGAATCATGTTGTATTGAGTAACAAGAGAGAAGGAGAGGGGGAAAGTATTTGTAGTAAAAGTATGTGCAACAGTGTCAGTATTAGGAAAAAACCAATTTATAAAGGTTTGTTTAAAAATAATAATAATTGGAAAACAAGCAAAGAGCCACAAAATAAATTGATTTAAACGTAGACCAAAGTGAACTCAGTATCCCACAGATAAAGAAGGGAAATGTCTAAATTCAATGGGTTGAGCTTTAAAAAGGATCAAAGAGGCATGTGCCCAAAGGTGGTCTTAGAGGTCATCTAGTCCAGCCCCCTGCTCCCAGGATCCCAGGACACTGTGATGTCATAAATCTGAGTCAGTTGCCACAGCGTCTGAATTTTGATCACATCACCACAAGGATGCTGCAGCGGTCGTAAGTGTGAAAAACAGTGTTTTTTTTCAGTCTGTTGTAATTTAGAACGGTTACTAAATGCATCGTTGTAAGTCAAGGACTGCCTTGTATTTGAATCTGAAAAACAAAACAAGATTCTGATTTTAGGTTTTGATGGTTAGAATGATTTTGCTGTTATAGATTATATCTATATCTATATATCTATTGCTTGAAAGATTATAAAAGAAATTATAACATTTCTTTTATAAATTATCAAAGAAATGTAAAGCCAAAACTTGATGCTGTAAATTTTTTTGTGATTTTGTGCTAAAAAAAAACAACCAGAAGTCACTTCCAATTTTGACTTCTTTCTCCCTTTTTCTTCTTCTCTCTTTAACCTTCTCAATTTTTATTTGTATTTGACTTTGTAATAAACTTTAATAATGGTGTTGTTTTTTTTTGAAAAAATGAAAACTTTCCTTTGAAATTACCGCTTGGAGCAGATGACCCACCTTGTTCCAGATGCTAAAATACTAAACGGCCTTCTGTACGTGCCCAGAGGCACATTTTCCGCAGAAAGAATTTGTGTTTCTGAGCATCGCCATAAACTGGACCATCCTAACGATCTTGAGCAAATGAGGACTTCAAAGCATAATTATACATTTTTAACCCTCATTAACCATCTGCCTTTTGAACAGATGTTTTCAAAACCCACTAAAAAAATAAATCTGAATTTATTTTTCATTTGCTACCTGCTGGGTCGCTACATGCAACTTTTCCTACTGTTTGCACGCAAGCGTGTGCCTGTGCATATCATTGAGATAATAATTGTTTCCCCAATATATTACCTTTTCCAAAACAATTAGGAATTTTCCAAATTAAATTATTGCACTGGATGAAGACAGTTGCTAAAAACAGCCGCTCTATCCTTCTTCTCCTAAATATTCTGAATTGAGTTCACAGTTGAACTTTTTTTAGGGTTTTTTGCAACAGGACAAAAGAGATGGTCAACACAGATTTCAAGATGCTTGTTCAAGTTTCTAGTCCTCAAGGCTGAGATTTATTTTTCTCGGTCATCTTTTTTTTTTTTTTTAACGAGTCCAAAGTGATGCAAACACATTGAAAAGATGCAGAAAGTACTTTTTTTTTTTTAAACCTCCAGTTTCTCTCATCTTCGCTCACTTTTTCCGGGATGAAGATTTAGGATTTCCAGGTGTTTTTGCACGTGCTCTGGAACTGCCTCTGAGTACGTCTTTGCCACTGTTCTTTTCTCCTTCCTCTTTCTTCCTTCTCTCCAATTTTGTCTCATTCCCTTCTTTCTTGCTTTGTTTTTTCTTCGTTCCCTCTTTTTCGTTCTTCTCGGACGCTTCCCTTTCTTCTTTTTCCTCTTGGTGCTTCTTCTTCTTTTCTTTTTTTCCGTCTTTCGATTTTTCTTTCTTCTTCTGGGCATCCACTTTGCCAGATACGGTGGGCACTTCCTCTTCCTCTTCTTCTTCTTCTTCCTCCTCGCCCTTCACATTGGCCAGACCTGGGGTGGGAGGGGAGAAAAGGAAGGAGAAAGAGAGCGGAGAAGATAGAAACAAAAACTGCCATTAATAACAAGAATGGGGTCTTTGGTGCCCTCTGAGCTGGGTGGTTCTATCTGCAGACGTTTCATGACCCAACTAGGTAACATCATCAGTGCTAGAAGGGAGGGGGTCAAGAGACATCTGCAATCCTCCTCCTCCCTCCTTGGTCCTCCTCCTCCTTTTC